TCTTTCCAAATCCGAAAGGTGTTTCTCGCGCGGAGGGACCCTCTCTGCCCCATCTTTGATGTGCCCAGCTCGCTGCAGCCGATTATAGTGAAAGGTCAGAGCTGTTATCTGCGGGTGCCCAACTTCCACATTTTCACAATGCAACTTTCAAGAGCTTGTATCAAGCGCTGTGGTGGGGGCAGGGTGTTCTGCAAAGGGCATGTAAGCAAGAGTTGATTGACGGGATGTAGAAGATGAGAATTTCCCTCCCTGGGTTTCCCACTCAGGGAAGGGACCGGCTTTCGTGTTCCGCTGTGGGCTGTGGGGCTGTGTCCGCAGCTCGCCCGTCCCTCCGGCGCACACGGGCATCCCGCTGGCGAGGGGCCTGGAAGCTCGGCACCGATGTAACAGGGTCGTTTCAGCCTCTACATGCTAATAACTGCATGGCTGGAATCATGATAAGAGAGAAGGAAAAAAAAAAATGAAATCTCCATTTTCAGATAACGCTTAAAACATTGCTCTTAGTAAACTTGAGTCATTCATGGTTTGTTTCCTGCGAGATACTAAAAATGCCATTGCTTGAAGCCTGGAATAAACACGTGGGAACTTTTTCTCTTAGGGATTAAATCAATTCATTCCGTGTCACATCTGATGTTTTACTTGTTACGCTTTCTCTTATTTTATACTGTTTTTTTAAAAAAGAAATGATAATCCAAGCTGCTAGGTATATGATGTCCAGATTTCAACTACAAAGTTTTAGTAATCTTTATTTATTTCCCTACCTTGTGTTCCAGTGACTTACGTGCTGGCTCAGAAATCTCTGGACATCAAAAAGCTAATTTGTAAACCAGCAATTCTGTTCTGCGTAAACATCCGCCGGGCTGTTCCGGCGTTTAGGGCTGTCAGAGAAACCTGGCTTGGGATTCCTGAAGACCTGTAAGATGAAATATTTGGGGATACATCTGAAGTTTCAAATAATGGATAATAAAGGATAATAACGTACATTTCCTTCTATTGGAAGGCTCTCGTAACTTGTCAGAGCGGAGCCCACACGTTCGGAAAGGGAGTACAGGGCCCAAAAGACTAAACTCGGAAAAAGTAGGGCCTAATACTGAGTTCCCCGTGATTTTAACAAAAACTCACAGGACGGAGAGCTGGTAGGAGAGGGATGCTGCGACACAACTTGCAGGGCACAGCAGTTTAAACTTAATAGAGTGAAAACCAGAACAGAATATAATCAGATAATATCTTAGGGCTCAGCTTGCCTAAATAAAAACTGCAGGATCAGTTTCTCAGCACAGAAGTTCTTGACCAGCAGTCGTTTCTCCCTGCTGAAGAAAGTAATTTTTGCCGAGAAAACCGCTGACCCAGTAAATAAGCAGTAGTAATGTAATTTTTTTCCTGTTGCCTGCTGGAAACTGGGAGCAGCCTGATCCTTCCCCATCCGTGTAGGTCTCCTCTGCCCCCACCAGCCTAAGGAGGAGGGACCAGCGCCAGGAACAAAGCGTCGAGGGACTCTGTGCAAGAACCCAATAACATGAAAAAATTTGGGGCTCCACTCTACCAGATACTGAGCCACTTCAGTCATCATCCAGCAAAGCATAAATGTGCAAATATACGCCTTCCTTGCCGCTAGCCACAGGTTCAAAATTAAGCAAGTGCTTGAAGGATTGGTCCAATGGTTTCTTTTATGAACTTCCCTGGGGTTCGGATGAGGCCCTCCGTGGCAGCACCAGGGCACTGCAAACCTTGCAGGACTGAGCTCAGGCACCTTCCTTTTAATTTATTTTTTTTTTTTTGGCAGAACTTGTAAAATTACACAAAAAGGCAAAGAGGAGAATTCTTTAAGAAAGTGGCTTTGAAGAAAATTCTTGCTTTATCCCTGGGTATTACCAGAACCTTCCTAGATTTCAGAGCTTTTTAAAAAGGGAAAAAAATAAGGTGCACGAATAGTCAATGCTAATATCACAATAAAGATTTGTGCCTCTTTTCACGCAGGGATGGGTAAATCCCAAATAATTGTTTGAGCTATGTTGGCATAGACCCATCCCAGGGGACTCGTGTCCTTAGCTGAAGGAAAAAAAAAGAAGTCCTGCAGTAGCATGAGGTAAAATTCTGGCTCTGTTAAAACCGGTAGCAAAACCTAAACCACTTGGGCGACAGTCTCCTCTGTTGTATTTATTCATTTCATGCTGTTCAGAGAAATGACATCCTCGGACTTCGTCTTCAAATTTACATTTCCCAACGGAAAGTCGACGGCATGTAAGATCCCTCAGGTGCCTTTTCTAGTCCTTTAGCCCTTGGTGAGACAGAAATTCCCTTTAATTCCAGCCGCACGGCAGCCAAAGCTTGCAAGCTCAGGTTTACAAGAGGGGCTCATATATTTTTGGATTCATGTGCTGATGCTTTATGGTACTGCTGGGGTTCTTCGGTAAGTTATAGCTAAATCCAGAGGTTATCTGTGTTTGATTAGGTCACTTAGAGTTGTTTATAGGTTAAATCTTAAAAATCTTGTTGGGAAAAAAAAAAAAAAGGCAGTTTTTAAATGGAAATGAAAGCATCGCTACGTGTTGTGGACAAACCAGAATTATTTGAAAATGTGAAGAATATAGTAAGAACTTTGGGGTTGTTGGCATTCGTCAGTCCGGGCAGGCATAACCAGCATTTCTAGGAAATGGTGAATCCAGGCAGTTTTTTGATTGCGCTTTTGAAAAAGTGCAATCTTTAATTCTGGAAGAATCATGTCTTTCTTTTGCAAGAACTGCTTGGATTGAGACACATGACTGAGCAGTTCATGTTCTGTCCAGTAGAAGAAAAATGATGTATCTACACAGACACCAACGTCCGAGTAAGGTAGTAGATGCCTTTACAGTAATGCATACACATGGGTGATACAGAGAATGTCATGTTTATGCATTATTCTTTGAAGAAAAATAAAAAAAAAGTTAGCAAATTTTTGGATACTCTTATTAACTCCTTACATTTTAAGCTCTTTTTTTTTTTTTAAAGCAAAAGAAGAGTGAAATCCTTCTCCCTCTCATGTCAGAAGGGGATAAATCATTTACTCTGCCGGGAGAAAAAAACTGAGGATGTAATCCCCGTTCTAACTTCACCAATCTTGTGTTTTGCTTTGTTTTTCCTTCTCCTCCTCCTCATGTGGATGCTTTCAGAGCACATTTTCCCTCTCCAACCCTTCTTTCATTCCCTCAGGGAGCCAGTGGATGAAGTCCTCCAAATTCCCCCTTCGCTGCTGACATGCGGCGGTTGCCAGCAGAACATCGGGGACCGTTATTTCCTGAAGGCCATCGATCAGTACTGGCACGAGGACTGTCTCAGCTGCGACCTGTGCGGGTGCAGGCTCGGAGAGGTGGGCAGACGGTTGTATTACAAACTGGGCAGAAAGCTCTGCAGAAGGGACTATCTCAGGTACACCACCCGCTCCTCCTACCCTCGCTCCCCTTCTTTCTATCATTTCAGCTTTGCTTATTCATTTAATCAGTGTATATAGCGAGCAAAGGTCCGTAAAGAGTTCGTTTTTCGTTACTCTTAAACGTCAAGCCTGACAGCAGTCACAGGTGTAACACGGCACCGTTTGCAAGCTCCGCTTTACAAGAGGGGCTCATATATTTTGGGGGTTCATGCGCAGATGCTTTATGGTACTGCTGGGGTTCTTCGGTAAGTTATAGATAAATCCAGAGGTTACCTGTGTTGATTAGGTCACTTAGAGTTGTTTATAGCTTACATCTTAAAAATCTTGTTGGGAAAAAGAAGTATTTTTTAATGAAAATGAAAACATTGCTACATGATGTGGACAAAAGAGAATTATTTGGAAATGTGGAGAATACAGTAAGAACTCCTAGGATTTGGGGTTGTTGGCGTTCGTCAGTCTGCACAGGCATAACCTGATAGCTCCAGGCGAACCGTGTAGTGTCAGCGTGGGATTCTGGCAAGTAGAAACTGGGAAATGGTGGTGAATTTCAGCAAGCTCCCCCCGAGCTGACAATGAACCGGTTCCCCCAAATGGTTTTAAGAAGTTCTGTGCTTCTCCAAGCATTGCCTTGGAGCTGAAAGGTATATAAAACCAGGTAAGATGACGAAAGATCATTTAGTTCTCATTTAAGAAGACGGTATCCAAGGTAACTGAATTAAATTCATTTTCCTGATGCAGTAATATCAGCTCTATAAGGGATGCTTGATTCCAGTAGCCAGCAGGGCTGCTGTACCTGCCTGGTGTCTGACGTCCCTGCCTTTGATACACGGATTGATCCCTGCCTTTTTCTGCATCGCTGCTAAAGTTATCTGCGACACTTCAAATAGAAAGATGGAACGTGCTGTATGTTTATTGCAAAGCTACAGCCAGTGCAGGAAAGTTTGACTGCACTAATTTGGATCCGGAGGATTTTTAGCATTCTTAAGCCTGGTCCCGAATAGACGAGAATTTGCACATTTTGCGGAATCAGATTCTGCAAATGCTCTTGTTGCAGGTAGCGTCATTAACATCTCTCTGCCTATCTGTTTCGCCAAAATTTGTAAGTAGAAGGATTAAATTGAGATGACGATATTTCACAACAATTGTTAACAAAGGATCTTTACGTTCTTGATTACGATCAAAGTGTATGGATCTTTGCTGTGCCGGTTGTGTACCATTTCTTCTAATGGATCCCTAATGTGTCAGGAGGTCTGCGGAACAGAATAATGATATTTGACAGGTTTTCAGCTACCTTACTGAAGGCTAATTTACCCGCCAGTAAAAACTAACCCAAAATCTCAGTGGAGTTCCTAATTATGGTGCCTCTGAGCTTTACCGATGGGAATTTTGCTAAGCAGGAGCTCAGTTCTGCTAACGGGGCCGCTTGTAAGTACTCCACACACCCAACAGTCCCGCAGTGATCCAGTGTTACACTTTCAGATACTTTTAAACTTCAAATGGAAGCAACAGAAAGTATGGCAATGCAATTAATGTATTCTCTTGCAGTGAAATTCAGCGGTTTTATTTATTTAATAATGCAACATGTAATATCTTGCCTCATTAATGAAAAATTTGGCAACCTTGGTGTATCCTTGGTATCAGTTTCGTTGGGCAGAAGGAAACACTGACACCTCCTGGTAGAGGAAAGAAATGTCTTTTCCCCTAAAAGCTCTCTCTTAATTTAGTAGCCATCCTTTTTCCGGTTCAGAAGATGATTTAAAGCAGGCACAGCACATGTAAGAGAAGTGTAGGAGGTGGGAAAACTCTATCCAGAATTAATATGGAAACTTAGAAGTCAAACTCAATAGGTGTATACTTTGAACAAGTAATAAGGTGCATTTCTCCGCCCTTTTAAGAAAAAAATAATAATCTTGCCCTGCTTATTTATTAATGATTTGACTTCCAAACTCGGTAGCCAACAGACTGCATGGAAGGCTGGCGTTCACACCTAGCTGGGTAGGTCGCACTGCTCCAGCTGAATGGTAGGGCATGCTGCGAGGGCAACGCATTCTTAATGCATTCATTAGAGGCTCCTTTTAAAAGATAATACCATCATGATCTCAGCAGGGTTTCTTACTGTGGATTCAGGAGCAGTCCACATCATAAAATTGTTTGGGTTAGCATAGGTATCTAGAAGGTCTTAGCACGTGTCCTTCCGAAATCCAGCAGGAGTGACCTCACGGATGTAGAAATGTTTATGGATATAGACTCTCCAACGTGGAGGCAACGACAAGAGACAGGGGAGTCTTAGACCATGGCTTGTGTCAACTCCATTCTGTAAAGTACAATAGCACCAGCTGAAGACAGGCAAAATTTATCAACGGAAAGGTAATTTCCATCAATCACGGAAGTGGAAGTATTGGTGTGACAAAACTTTGTGCCGTGATCTGGGGAACCTTTACTCCTCCTGAAGCTGCTCGGCAATTCAGGATAAGGTCATTGATCAGAGAAGTCGATTATGTTGGAAATAGGTGAGGACCTTGGACTTTCTGCTTCAATTTTTGGCATTGCAAAGTTGAGAGTTCTGCTTGGCAGCCTTCCATGTGACCTCTGTCTAACATGGCAATACGATGACTAAGAGGATCAAGGCACTGATGTGTTCTTGTTTTGATTTGTTTTTTTCCCATCTCCCCAGCAAAGGAACTCTGCTTACTTCTCTGCTGTTGTTTTTTTAGGCTCTTTGGCCAAGATGGCCTCTGCGCCTCCTGCGACAAGCGAATCCGGGCTTACGAGATGACCATGCGGGTGAAGGACAAAGTGTATCACCTTGAGTGCTTCAAATGTGCTGCCTGCCAGAAACATTTCTGTGTTGGGGACAGATACCTCCTCATCAACTCGGACATAGTCTGTGAACAGGACATCTATGAGTGGACTAAGATAAATGGAATGATCTAGCAAAGACATGCCTCCCTAGTCTATAGAAGACATCTCTCGGGCGACACCGATGCCTAGCTGTTAGTGAGGAGATCATCACTTGAGCTATGGGCTTTGTCTAAAATGGGGGGAAAACACCACAGAGTCGGGCCTTTGCAGGCAGTGCTACATAGAATCTAAACTACATATAGGTGAAGAAGGGAGACCGAAGCAATAGTAGATAGACTGACTTCTGTTAACAAAGGCGTACGGACAATAACTGACATCAGCCATGTAGGCCAGAGTTGGGGAACAAACACAACGCGATAATGAATTCTCGTAACTGGAAAATGAGTAGAGACTTCTGTAAAGAGATGTTATGACTTTGTCACCTGCAGACTAGGATTGTGCAATTGAATTTTCTTTTCGTCTTGTTTTAGTTACTGAGTTTAGACGACAGCTCCTAATGTAGACATGAGGAACAATACTGGAAGAAAAGGGCCATCGCTTACGTGGTCATTCTGTACGGCCTTACACTTCGGGTAGGAGAGAAAGCGGGAAGAGAGTGGGGGTTATTTTTGCATGGATCTTTTTTTTTTTTTCCTTTGAGAATGAACAGTGCATCCTCTAGTCTCAAACTCTTC